CATTTTGCATGATATAGTAATATACAATTCTTTACTTGTTAAATGTCCCTCCGAAATGTTGAGTTGAAGAGACACCAATTTGATAGCTACTTTGCTGATTGCAGGTAACTAAAATTGGTCGTGATGCGGTTCTTTATGTTGAATCCCTAATTGAATCTATCATGGGAGGTCTGGAAGGGTTGATAAATATTCTCGACTCGGAAGGGGGATTTGGCTCTTTAGAGTTGCAGGTTAGTATCCTTTATCATGTTCTCAACACATGGAAACACTGCTGATTTTATCTTTTCCAGACTAATGCAAGTGAAATATCAGCTTTTTCCAGAGCAGGCGGCACATCTCATGAATTTGACTTCCAGAATTTCTGCTCCTTCTGTGAAATCCCCAAGAGCCATGTCGGGCTATCATTTACCAGGCTATGAGAGCTACCCTGAAAATGATAATTCCATAAAAATGTGAGCCATATTAATCTTACATTAGATTACCCAATGATCTATCTTACAATTTTGCTCACTTGACTTCCTTGTACTTTGTAATGACAGGTTAGAAGCTGCAATGCAGAGGTTGACCAATCTTTGCTCAGTTTTAAATGACATGGAGCCTATATGTGTTCTAAACCACGTTTTTGTTCTGAGAGAGGTAAGAAGCCCCTCGTTATTCCGCCTTGAAATGATTGTGTCTGAGACATCTGGATCATTGTTCTCTCTTTACTCCCTTCGTTTCATTGGTCATGGTGTCTAAAAAAAAGGAAGACTTTTGGAACTTGTGGTTTTAAACATGCCACTACACTTTCTGTTGGTTATAAAAGCGTGTCATTAATGATAGAAGGGAAGTTTAAAGTCAAATTATTTTCAAATATAGGAAGGTGACATCTTTCTGGAACAAACTGCAAAGGGAATAGGGCCACATGAATCAACATGTTTTATTTTGTCAATGCTGATTGCCCTGATTTTGTGGGAAATGGTGCAAGTAGACTTGATCCTGTTAATTGCACTCTGTATTACATGTTTGGAGGTTTTCTCTTGTTGAGTCTTTTCGTGTTTACTAATGTGAGTCAAATCAAATTATTTATTGTGTTGAGGCTGAGGGCTCATTTTGTCTTCTTAATATAATGTTTGCTTGATTTAGAAGGATTAATTGGCCTTCTCTTCTGGCTCAGCCTTATTACTTGACCCTACAAGTTGACAAACGTAAATAAAATGCAAAGCTACAATTTTAAGTTTTTATGTTCTATATGTTTCTTGAAAAAGGTCAGGTTAGTTTATATATCCATGAGGAAATCACCGTGATTAATTAAACTGAGACTAAGTATACTTGATTCCTCTCTAAAACATCTATTATGCAGTACATGAGAGAATGTATCCTTGGGAACTTCAGAAGGAGACTGCTTGCTGTTCTGAAAACTGATAATGATCTTCAGCGTCCTACTGTCTTGGAATCACTGATACGCAGACATACAGCTATTGTCCATCTAGCAGAACAACACATTAGCATGGACCTAACTCAAGGTATCCGGGAGATATTACTAACAGAGACCTTCTGTGGTCCAGTTTCATCTTTGCACTTGTTTGAGAAAGCTACAGAGCAGCATACAGGATCAGCCACTGAAACAGTATGTAACTGGTACATTGAAAATGTGGTCAAGGATGTATCAGGTGCAGGTATCCTCTTTGCGCCCCGGCACAGATGCTTCAAGAGCACTAGGCCAGTTGGTGGATATTTTGCTGAGTCAGTGACAGATCTCAGGGAACTGAAAGCATTTGTCCGTGTTTTTGGTGGTTATGGAGTTGACAGGTTAGACAGAATGATGAAAGAGCACACAGCTGCACTCTTGAACTGTATTGACACATCATTACGGGCAAACCGAGATAATCTGGAGGCTGTTGCTGGAAGCATGCATTCTGGTGACCGAATAGATAGAGACACAAATATCAAGCAAATTGTTGATTTGGACACTATGGTTGGGTTCTGTATTCAGGCAGGACAGGCTGTTGCTTTTGACCGCCTTCTTGCAGAAGCTGGTACAGCTGTTCTTGAAGAAGGTGCTCCTTTGATACATTCATTACTGACAGCGGCTGCTAAGCATTTACCTGATGAAATACCTGAGAAAAAGGAGATTAGAAGGTTGAAAAGAGTAGCAAACAATTTTAATATAGCTAGTGACCATGACGCTGAGTGGGTCAGATCCATACTAGAAGAGGTTGGAGGTGCAAACGATGCTTCCTGGAGCTTGTTGCCTTATTTGTTTGCCACTCTAATGACATCAAATATATGGAATAGTAGTGGCTTTAATGTTGACACTGGGGGCTTCAGCAACAACATCTATTGCTTGGCAAGGTTTGTTTCTTGCTTAAAATCTCGTTTGCGTCAAGTTATGAGAGTCTTTGCTCCTCTATCTTTCGACAGATTTTCTGTAGCAATGCTGGTTTCTTTCTTTTCTCAATTGTGCTGTGCATCCTTAACCCCCTGGTTTCAGTCTTATGAGTTATGATCATGTACCTTTGGCATTTTTGTTGCTTGGGTTTACATTATTACTGCAAGTAGGTGGAGAACATTTATATGGAACACCATTTCAATAAGTAATTTGAATTGGGTTCTCTTGGAGTCGAGGAAGAAAAACAAAGCATAACTGTCTCAAGTGTAATCTATGTGGTTAACTCTATTTTTATGCCTATATTAAAGTTACAGTTATTTCTTGAAAATCCATTCATGGATGGCAAGCTAGATCATCATATAACAAGTACTGGGCAATGCAAGAGCCATGCTTAAAAAACATTCTTCCTTCTTTTTCTGATGAAGTATGCTTAAAAATATTTCACTAGTGCGTTGTCTTTCTAATTGATCATTATTGTCTTTCTGTAACATGGTTGGTTTTCTTTTGGTAGGTGCATTTCTGCAGTAATTGCAGGAAGTGAATTTGTTAGACTTGAAAGAGAGCATCACATGAAACAATCTTTTTCAAATGGCCATGTCGGTGAAACATTGGATCCTGAAACACACAACCAAATAACAGTTGAGACAAACATTAAATCCACAATGCAGCTCTTTGTGAAGTTCTCCTCTGGAATTATTCTTGACTCTTGGAGTGAGAGTACCAGGTATATTCGTTTTTCTAAAGTATCTACATAATGTTGCTAAAAAAATTCTGAAAATTGGAGATACTTCCTCTGTTTCAGTTTATATGATTGTGCTGTATTGGGCACAGGCTTAAGATTTTCATTTTGATTAAGCTTATTACATTAGTGGTAGTGGAAGAAAATAGTAAACAATGGTTGAAAACTTAGTTTGATAAAGAATACACCACATCAAAGTTTAAATTTTGAGTAAATGTGAAGTCGAATAAAAATGGAATGGTGCCAAACATTTGGAACGTCCCAAAATGGTTAGTGTCATTTAAATTGAAATATAGGGAGTGAATTATGTTTCGTGTGGTGGACATAACGAGTTTACTTGCCTCGTAGTTTTCCTGCCGTTGCAACTAAACTATAACGGGCACTCCTTCGGTTAAATCTTTTTTGTTCACTCCAGTATTTGAAACACTGCTGATAAATCATATTGATGTCCTGAACAAAAATTGGAAAATGACTCAATGGCTAAATTAGTCGTCCCACACCTCCATTGGTAATTTATTGACCGTTGGTAAAACTAGATTTTCTGTTTTGGCTAAATTTGACGAGCTGACAAAGAGACAACCCTATATTAATTGCCAATTGATCATGTAACCTCAGACACTAAGATGGGTAGATCTCTCATCTGTTTTATATTGTTCAATAATCTGAAAAACGTGTATACCTCTTCTGTGCAGATCTCATCTCGTGTCAAAGCTCATTTTCCTGGACCAGTTTTGTGAGATCTCCCCTTACCTACCAAGAAGCACGCTGGATGCGTATGTTCCTTACTCCATTATCCGCTCAATCTACAGCCAATACTATGGAAGTTCATCTCCTGCGCCACTGGCACTACTTAGTGATTCACCCCGTCATTCACCGGCTGTATCTCTGGCACATTCATCCCCTGCAATGAGGCAGCATCGCAGTGATTCCACTCCTCAGTCAAATTCTAATGATTTAGGTTATTTCAAGCCATCTTCAAGCCATGCCCAGGATCAACTATATGAAACAGAAAGTGGAAGCATTGAAAATAGGCCTCGAAATGTTAGGCGTTCTGGACCATTGGAATACAGTGCAACTCGAAAATTAAAACATGTGGACAGCTCAACATCAGCAAGCACAGGTCCCAGTCCATTGCCAAGGTTTGCAGTGTCTAGGTCTGGTCCTATATCTTACAAGTGACAAAATAGTGAACTTTTGAAAAGTGTAAATTTCTTTCTTCTGTTCTATTATTAGTCAGTAGTGGACTGTCTGCGATGTTCATACAAATTTTGGTGTATCTATACATAAAATTCCTCTATTTATTCCTCGACGTTTGGCTCTAACAGGAGATAAATCATTAGCTGTGAGAAGCTAATTCTGAAATATGTCAATTGGCATTTGTTGTGTAATGAACTTGGAGAGACATCACTACCAAATGTAATCCCAGTCCTCCAATGTAGCATCCTCGAGTTCTATGTTTCACCCATTGCACGAGTCTTTGCCTTCGTACAATTACCTTCCTTGATTATTACGACAACAATATACTCAATGAAATCTTACGTTGCTCGACCATTATACTTAATAACTGGAAATGAAGAAACAGAAGATAACAAGAATAAAAGGATTCCTATATCCAGTCTCTGCCTCTACATTGATAGATACACTCAACTCCAACCAAACCAACATGGAGTGGTGATTCTTAATCCTTTTGAAGAAGTGCAATGTGTCAGTTGAACGTATATTTGAAGTTTTGCATCCCATGAAAGAAAAACAAGGGCATCTTTTTTTCTAGAAGAGGGAAAGAACGAGAAACCGAAAAAATACGAGAAGAAACAATTATGCAATATTGTTGTGGGATACTGGGATTTGTATAGCAATTTATAAGCTAGTAATCATTATCTTCTTTTGCATTATCAACCAAGTTAATGTACAAACTCCAAAGTTTAGGTACTGAACACCTCAAACATTGGCAAATCTTGTATACATTTACATTAAATACATATCATCAATATTGGAGGACGATCCATTATCATGCATCTCCCATTTAGAGTGATTTAGCAGGATCTTATCGAAGATGGTGCCTGCGAGGGTAAACTCAATAGAATGATACAGCTATAATAGGAGATGCAGAAAAAAGTTGCATGACTGGAAAGAAAGGGGAGGAACCTCAAAGTTTCTTTTGTTCCTCGACGAATTTTGCAACGAATAGTTGGAAGGCCAAGTTGCTGATGAGCTTCATAGCGATGACAACCAGAAAACCCTGGATATAACAAGAGAAATTATTTAAATTCTCTTTAGCTATTAAAAATGAAGTACCAGTTGAAATAAATAGCAATGAATAGACTATTAGCTTAGGCAAGAAATCGAAAAGAAGACGTACCGTAATAAACCCCATCTACCTCAAGCACATCAATCTGCATGTGAGAAAGAACTGTCTGTGAGTCTAATATTAACACCAGACAAAATTGACAAGAACTAAGGCAAAACTTCTACCAGTAATTACTTAAACCATAATTGAAGTGTCAAGAGCAACGTTTCCCCATAATTAACCAAATAAAGTGCAGCACTTTAGAGATGTCAAGGCTGTCATCTCTCTTTTAGCAAAGGAGTGATGGGAACTTGGTTCAGGAGGGGGCATAAATGTTATCTGGTTGTCATTTTGTGAAGTAGTTCACCAAGTTTTACAGTTGAACTGCATTATCAGGCAACAAATTTTTCCAAGTGATAGGTGAGCAAATGTTCGATGGTGTACTCAGCTTTTGCAACTCTGTCTAAGAGGGAAGAGAGAACTAGCAACTGACTATGAAACTTTATTAGTTTCGACATCAGAATAACAATACAATAGAAAGAATACTACTACAACTATATTCATGAGCCAGGACTCTCCCATCTTAGAGCTGTAACAAAGTTTAGCAATCAGTACACTGTATGCTGTTGCTAAAACGGGAAAGGAGAACAAACTTTTAAACTGGTTAGAAAAGCAAAAGAGAACCAGAGGGCAAATGCATTGAAGATGATTTCCTTACCTTCTTGGGGACCAGCAGTCAGGAAGGCAATGTAAGATGTAATGTTTAGGAAATTTTTTGAGTCTCAAGGAGTTATTTCTCTTTTTATCATGTAATTTGATACTCACAATGAGACCTTCTGGATTTTTTATTTTTTTTTGGAGAAACCAACTTCTAAGGATGTGAAAATCTCCCATAACAGATTTCTAACGAATGTTTGACACCACCTTGCTTGTTTGCACCTCAATTACTCAATCATCCAGCTTTATTATCTACATGCTTATGTATGATCAAGAAGCTTAATCCAGTACTTAATTTGTGGTCATCTGAGAACCTTGGGGGTCTGGGGCTACAATGCAATATTTTCTTTAGCTCCCCACGAATTTTATTTTCGAAAAAAAATCCATTTTAACTTTGTTATCCTGCCGTACTACCCACTTTTTGCCATCCAAAAGAATAACCCTGTGACCAACCAACTACAGGCTATTCCTGTTCCAGGGTACAAAATCGTGGCCTTCTTTCTATCTAATCAACCTGCTTTCAGATATATCCTAGTTTATTGAGTTCCCTTATTTCAAGTTTTTGTTATCCAGCAGACTTTATCAACGTAATAAAAGGCTTTAATCATTTCTTTGTTATTAAGTTCAATCTTTTTTACCAACCACCTACAGGCTATTCCTGCTTGATGTTAATTACGCCACAAGGTTCCTATTTGATTCAACATATTAATACTCCCTTTGTTTCAATTAATACGTCTAACTTTATTTTTTAGTTTGTTTCGAAAAGAACATAATTTTCTATATATAGTAACTTTATAATTTCAACGTTCCACATGACATGTTTAAGACCACAAGCTTCAAAGAGCATTTTCGTACATTATGCACATCTTTAGTTTAGCACCGCATGATTCATAAGTCTCTCTTATTTTCTCAAGCTCTGTGCCTACTCAAACTAAGACACATAAAATAGAATGGAGGAAGTAGTAAAATAAACATGTAAGAAGAACATGAATCTGCAACTTATATATGAAGGCAAAATAGCATCTAATCATGTGAAAAGTAAACGACAGGATGATTTAGTAGTTACAGGTACTTGAAGCCCGATTTCCTTGATACTATCCATAAGTTCCTTCACTTTTTGCTGGTCATTAGATCTGGTACGCATGAGTGGCCTTCGGATTTTATCAAGGGGAAGTTCAAGAATCACTGGCCCAGCAGATTGAGGCACACCAGGAGTAGCCCCTGAAACAATATTATGAATAATTTATACGCATTAACCTTTAACAAGAAAGTTAAAAGCATTATGTACTTGAAATTGTTTGTTAACTCCCAACAAGTTTACATGACCAATACAAATACGAGAACTGACAGGTTTAGGAGTAAAGACTTCGCAATGGAAAGACAGCTATGAAAATCCAACTTGAGATGCTAATTAGGCGCACCGAAAAGTAAGTATGTATTGAGAAGGAAAGAAATAAGGATTTATGAACTACATATTCCAGTAAGTGTGCTTTTAGTCTTCTTTTTTTTCCCGATAACCATGCTGTTTGGGCCAACTTGTGGGCACCTCGATCAATTCCACGGGATACCTGCGACCTCTAACCAACAGATACCAGGTAACTCTGTCCACCAAGTAATTATGCTTCTAGTTTTTGTTTCTGATTTATAGATGGGGTTGGCTGATAGAAAATAGGATTGATCTCCATCCTTTACGGTTTTCGCCCTCGATTAGAGAACTATTTTCCTCTGTATGTTGTACAATGCATATTAGGGATCAAAAATTCTATTCCATTATTTTCTAATCTTTTGCTTACCCTGGCAACAATAACCAATTATGAGCCAAACCAATAAATGCTTCTGCTAAGCGAATATCAACTCAAGGAATACAACCATTTACCAATTCAATAACTATGGATACACTAAAACTCTTTGTATTCTGCTGAACTAATTACTGATCTTGCTATAATCACTGATGTAAAAGGTCTATAGCAAGAAATCTTTGAAACACCATGAAAAAGTTCAAAAAACAAAAAGCATATACTAATAGCAAATAACAAGAACGACAACAACATATCTGGTGGAATCCCACAAGTGTACGCAGACCTTACCACTACCCACATAGGTAGAGAGGCTGTTTCCGAAAAGCCCTCAGATCAAGTACAACAAATTCAAGTAAAAAAAAAAAGAGAACATATAATATAGCAAGAAATGTATGATTTCAAAATAACTCAATTAGAAAGCAATTCATTCAATCCAAACAAACTTGGTTGAAAGGTTTTCACAAACAACCAAAAGCACACACCTTTAGCTCAAATTTGGATTTATCTAGATTATGGTGTCACAGAAAAGTTATATACACCAAAATTACTTGATTTGAGAAGAAACCCATAATTTCTTTTTTATTTTCCGAACTCTATAAATCTTTTCATAAAATAAGTATTTTTGGCAGAGATTCTCAATTACCAAATTTTAGACATAGAAGATGGAAAAAGAAAGGCACATGAATACCATTAGAGGAGGAGGAAACAGTGAAGCTCCTTAAACGCAGATTATTTGGAAGTTGCAGAACAAAATTTGCCATTTTCTCTTTTGTATAACTTCTTGAATCTTACTGAATTTGATGATATATGAAAATAAAGGGACCTTGTGTTTGAATAAGAAAAACTGTCCGGTCCTTGTGGAGTTCAGTAATTGCTTAGAGACCCTTGGATTTTCTCTCTTTTCCTCCATTACATCAATAAATTGCAGCATTCTGGTTTTCTCACTTCCATGGCTGCTATGAGCTCTCTCATACTTTTGCGGTACTGTTCCCCCCCCCCCCCCCCACACACACACACACAATTCCTCCTTCTTTGATTTTCTACTTATTGAAAGATGTGATTTTTTTCATATTTGCAGAGGCCCTTACATAGTGAAAGCTTTGGGTTTCATAAAGGCATCAAATTACATACCAAGAATCGTACCAGCCTCACGTTATCCTCTTCAATCTCAAAGGTTTGTAAACTTCTCAAGGAGATCCTGAATTTAGTGATTCAATATCCATATATTGCTTTTGAGAGCTTGTACATCATTCTGGTCTTGTTGTACCAATAACTTTGTCCTTTTTGTTGAGGAATCTGTCCTTTTTACTTGCATCTGCAAAATGGGGTTCTTGCAGTCCGATTAATCCTTTCGCATTGATTTCTTTATAACTCCCTTATGTGATGATAATTGACTGGATACTGAGCTTAAAGAATTGTGTATTTTGATTCAATTTGACTTTAGATAGAAAAGCAACAGGTCAATTTTAAATTTTTGAATAATTTGATGATTTTGAGTACATGGCAGTTGTAGAGGTTAAATTGAAATGTAATGGTGTCATAACGTTACCGGGTCTCCTAAAATGGAAAGGGGTGTCATATGAATTGGGACGGAGGGCTACTGATGCATTAATCATACTAAGTGATTTCATACATTTCTTATGATGGTCGTTTGAGTGTGGTGGAGCTACTGAAACCCCTTGAATGTGTCATCTTAGTTAAGGGATGATTACTGTTTCTGGTAGTCTGAGTCTTTGTTGTTTACATTATGAAGTGTTTTTTTTCTTTTGCTTCTCTTGTTACACGCATAATATGTGATTGTAGTCGTGTCAGTTGTATCTGAATGCATATTCTCGTCATAGTTAGCTTAGTCTCTTATGATAAATCTGTAACTCAGGCTATAAGCCAGACTTCAATGTGTCAGTTATGATAAGTGTTTTCTATGTTTGACAACAAATGTGAATCAGGAGCTTACTTGTAGAAATATTTGTAACTTAATTAGGATCCTCTTTTCCCTCTCCCTGAGTTCCTCTTCGAATTTCTTATTGAGATTTGTTTTCTTTTTGTAAAGACAGGTCTTATGTAGCTGCTGCACATGATGAGGAAGCAGCTGCCAGGGCAGCTGCTGTAAATGCTGATACTGGAGCTCCAACCATGTACTATTTTTCCCATGGATAGAACGTTTTGTAGTTCTATTATAAGTTGAGATTGTCAGAGCTTCAATCTAATTAACGGTGTTTGTATCAGTTATGCATTCTCTTTCTGGTTGTTATAGAATATATGTGTTACTTATGCTTATAGGAAATAGGAGACCTTTAATTTATTGACTACTGGAGGTAATTATTGAAGAAGAATCGTACCATAGAGTTGCCTTTTTAACTAAAACATTGAAGTCATTGGCACAAAAAAATTATAAGTCTATACCATTATTTTGAACTCTGCATCTTTTTGTTGTATTGCGTTTTTCTTTTGCAATAGTTATCCTTTTTACTTGCATTTCTTAGTTCAGAAACCTCCCCGGTGTATATCTCCTCAAGAACTGGAGTGTAGATTTTGGAATCAGATGAATTGGTACACAGGATTTTTTTCACGGCACTTAGCAGGCAGCACAAATGAAAAGGCTGATTGCTAAAACATCTGCTATTTCTTTCCCTTGATTACTTAATAGTAGATGATAACTAAAAATGCATCTGTAAGAACAGATATGTCCACTTTTGCGAATGATATGACCTACATAGTAATATGATATCCTGACTTTTGAAATAATTACTTCAATTCTCATTAAATATCAGCATTCAGTTTTAACGCAAGATGTTACCTCATATTTGGTTTCCAACTTTCCCTCTAATACGTATTATACAGCATTAACTTCGACCTTACAAAGAAACAGGAAAGATTTGAAGTTAATTGAATTGTTACAAGGCAACAAGTGTTTGTTGTGGCAATAGTTAGCTTATATGTTCCATGATTACCTTCCCTGAGAAAGAACGATTAAACTGATCTTGGTTAATTTGTTGAGCTGCTTAAGCGTTTGTTTCATACTAGTAAATTTAACGTGAACATCCACTGTTTGACTTGCATACTTCCTGTCAGACATGGTGACTGAATGATCATCTAGGCTCACTGTATTCTGATCAATTTGGTTTTTGTGCATTCAGATTTGATAAAATCATCGCAAAGGAAATACCTGCTTCTGTGGTATATGAGGATCAAAAGGTTCTTGCTTTTCGCGATATCAATCCTCAAGCTCCTGTTCATGTTCTAATTATCCCGAAGTCGAGGGATGGATTAACAGAGCTTGGAAAGGTGGGGTTTTTTTCCCTTTATCTAATTTCTGATATTATTACAATGTGGTATGCATATGCCTAGTTTCAAGGAATGTGTATCTTGACTTTTGGTATAGCACAACTCACAAGTCATACCAAAATTCAGCATTCGAGAGTCTCTATCTAAATTGTTTGTCCTGAAGTGGAAATAGACGACCATAATATCTCCACAAGTTCATATCCCTCTGGTATTGGCTTTTTCCCCTATACTTGAGATCTATATAATCTGTTGGTTAAGGCAAGCACTTATTTGGGTGTAAAAGGTGGTCATCTTGCACTGTTTTTTGCATGATTTTACGAAGTTATAGCAGTTTTATATGAAAGTGCTCGTAGCTTGACAATGATGATTACAGAATAAAGAATAGAAATATTTAGGAAAAGACTGGAATCTAGGAGCCCGTGAACAACTTTATAGATTAGCAACTTAGAAGTTGTCCCTCAAAAAAGTCAATTTTGCTGTGTTTTACCTTCTATTTCTTATGTTTATGTTCATTTCCGTGTCAATTTCTCTGGTAATTGATATCTTGCAACTGTTTCCGTTCTGATTTATGAAGGCTGAACAAAGACATGAAGATATATTGGGCAACCTCCTTTATGCTGCCAAGATAGTAGCGGAGAAAGAAGGCATTGTAGATGGTTTTCGAGTTGTCATTAATAGTGGTTCCTCTGCATGTAAGTCTATATCCCTTCTAATATTCCCTACTCTCCTCCAAAAATGTGAACCTAATTGCTAACATGGGAACTTTGTATGAACAATGAATACAATGCTGTTTACATCTAAAGTTTTCTTTATTTATCTTTTAAGAGTTTAAAAACAGCTCGACAGTACTTAATGAAATAACAGAAGTAATCTTTTTCCTCTCTTCCTTGCATAGGTCAATCTGTATACCATCTTCACTTGCACGTACTTGGCGGAAGACAGCTGAAATGGCCCCCGGGTTAGAATGAAGCTTGGTTGCGAGCAAGTTTTCCAATCTCTCCATTGATGTAACATGACATGTGAACCGATGTTCAACATCTGAGCATGCAATAAGTACTATTGTTAGATGTGATTCAAGTATATTTGGTGAATGACTACAGATACTTGTCTTCATTGCAGTAACCGACTAACCGTGTATGTTCTTGATCAACTTTTTATCTGCATTTCCATGAATGCTGTGAAGTACTTCACCTGTTTCCTTCTCAAGAATGCCCTTCATTGCTTCTGTTGGTATTTATGTACACCTATTCTGTGCATGATTTATTAGTCTAAAGCTCTTTCTTGGAGTAGCTAGCCATTTGGTTTCTCCCAGTTGACTACAACCATCAAAAATGATGTATCAAACACTGAATTCCCCCCACAACAAAAAACGTTAGGTGATTTTCTCGTTTGTCTAGGTTTTGGTCGACAGAGTTGCCCTCACACCTTAAGCAGAGTTATTTGGTACTTGTGTTGGTAGGAGGTAGCAGGTGCATAAGTTGATTCAGATTAAAAAAAACATGCTGAATTCTCAAAATTGAATATCATTGTGAGATTAATGTCAGATTTAGCCAATTTGCAGCAGGCATTATTGAAAGATCATATGTTAGCATTGATATCTCTATAATCACTGCGGTATAAGTTACACTGATTAACAGTATAACCCTTGACTTGTCTGTGCAGGATACAACAACCCAACTATGTTTATAACTCTAACAACTCCGAATTAGTTGAAGAGTTTAAAGCTTCACCAAAAGAACGCCTTTTTTCAATATACAATTACTACTATCTTTTGTATAGTATAGTAAATAAATTGGAGATTTAGAATATTTTTCTTTGTCTCAACTCTTTCTTTCACTACACTAACCTCAAAATATAAACTCCACTCCTCATCTTTTTCATTATTTCTGTATAACAACACAAAGAAGAAAATATCCTTTATATAGGTGGAGAATTTCTTCTACAAATAAATATCAAGAATGTGGATAGTCGTTTGAGAAGTAATGAACAATTAGTAGGAGATAATAAGGACAACATGTCATTATGATCGCATGAATTATAAAGAGAATTACTATCGTCAATACCAAATATGTATGTTTTTGTAATTTACATGTCATTCTATTATTTTAAAGATTTGCAATTTTATCTCTTTGTTTCCTTGAAAATTAAGTAAAAAAAAATATGTCTTAAAATTATTCATGAGCGAAAAAATAGGAATAAATAAATAGGTTGAAATGAAAATTCAGTAAACATTTCCTTTCCTTGAGTTGCCACCTTCGTTGAAATGAAAACCAATAAACAACTCCCTCTTCGTAAGCGGTCATTGTTAAAAGCTCAAAATTTTAAAGTTTAAAAATTTGATTTTTGCAAAATATTTCAGATTTATCTCTACTACCTTAAAGTACGAACTCACTAACTTGAATGTTAAATTACTATAATATCCCAATTTAAAGACTCAATTTAGTATATATTCTATATTTAATATTGTATTTATTTACGTTGTATTATATTAAAAGCATACACCTTTTCACATT